GGCTATTATGTGTCATCTTGGAGGTCATATTGCGCTCTCGGAGGCTCTCTTGGAGCCGACTTGAGCCATCTTAAATGCTCTGACCGCTCGCGGAGCGCCCCGTCCAGGTCCAGGGGAGGGAGTAGGGGAGGGGTCAAGGCACCCTCCTGGATAGCAAGCCGTCTCGCTCACTCCCACCCGCCCTTCCAAAACAGACGTAGCACCTGAGCCTCATGTTCACGTCTTTGGATGGACAGCTACTGGGAACCAAAACCGACCCCATGTGCGCGACGCTGGGACAAGGTGCGCCACGCGTGTCAGGCGCGCCAGGCGCGCTAGGCACCCCTGGGGCACGAGCGTGCCAGGCACGCCTGGTGCGCCAGATGCGCCACGTGCTCCGCGTGCGGCAGGTGCGCCGCATTTTCCAGTCGCGCCATGTGCGCCACGTTCGGGGCACGTGCACGGTGTGCCAGGTGCGCCCGCGCACGTGACAGTACACATGGGGGAAACAAGTCGGCCCCCACCATCTTTGTCGAAAGCCGATGCCCATCATTGTGTTTGGTGGGCCTGCGCACAGCAGGCCATACGCCACCACCCTCGATGTCCCTATCAAGAGCCACTTGACAGTGATCGCGGGGTGGCCGCGCATGATCCATATTTAGCCGCGAGGTGCATTTTCTATTGTTTGTTTGACAGAGATGGTAGCCCTGAGCGCAGGAGGCAATATGCTGACACCCCACCCGTCCCTTTAAAAAACCATACAAAGTGCTCGCGGGCCTCACGAACATGACCCAAGACTTTGGCCCAAAGTGTATTTTTATTGTTGTTTGATAGGGATGGTGGGGGGCCGCATCGGCTTGGTTGCGCATGCTCCGAATTTAGAAGCAGAGTGTGTCTTATATTGTTTTTGTCACAGGGATGGTGGGGGTGGGGAGCACAGGGGGGTCGGCACTGTTCCTGGTTGGCTGCCGGTCGCCTGGGGGAGGGGGTGTATAATTATAGGGAACAGTGATGAACCCCTCCACGAAGGGGAAGAACGGGGTTGGAAGAGGAGCCTCTCTAGACCACTTACGCCCAGAGGGCTGGTGGGATTGCACCGTCATCCTTGCTCCCCGCCGCCATCGTCATCAACACAAGCTACCACCCTGTTCACCCCGATTAATTTACATTTGCTTCGCCATCATCGGCACCATGTCTTTGCATCCTCCGCTTCAAAAATGTGAGCATCAAGGCCCTCACTGTTGCTTCCCACTTGCACTTGCGAAACATCGTTTGGCTGCTTCTCGTATGTGCGATTGGCTCGTCAGGCGGTGTCAGCGGGCACGGAAGTCGTGAACAAGACGAGCGCCATGGCCTCAGCAGTAATCGTGAGTAATCGTGTTTGCTTATTTGCAAGGGAGGAGAATTTCGACGACCCGTAGAACTGGCGTTTATTAAACGGCCCTGGGCGTTTACTAAACAGCCCTGTCCTGCTCGAGTCGTCCTTTGGGTCCACTAACCAGCATCGCTTGTCGGGGTGCGTATTATGAGAGCGGTTCTTCTGCTCCTCATATCTGCCCCCTACCACTCTGGGACAGAAGGATGTAGGGAAGAAGGCAGCAGGGATGAGGGAGGAGGGAGGGAGGAGGGGGGAAGAAAGGAATAGGATGGCCAGGAGCAGAGAAGTGGGGAGATCGAAGAATGAGGGGGGGAGCGAGGAACGAGTTCTTCCCCCTGCGGTCGATGCAGATGGTGGCCCCCGCGCACACCGCCCTGCTGCATCCGCTCGTCGAGTGACGGTCACAGTTTTTTTTTCGGCGGCAACAAAACCGTGGCTCGAGCGCGGCCGCCAGGACGCTGCGGCGATGCCTGCGCGGACAGTCGCGGCCGAACGCCCTCTCGGAGGCTGCCTGGCGACGCGCTGAGAGCAGCTCGAGGCGCGAAGGGTTCGCGCGAGTGGTGGGCGGGCGGATTTCTGGGGCCCTGCGGGAGACGGGGTCGTTCGAGGCTGGGCGGCTCACGCGGTGTCAGAAACCAACGCCGACGTCGTCACGGCAAGAACGTTCTGCAATCCGTGCTTGTCACGTGTTCCTCGTCGTCATCGTGGTCGTCATCATTCGGCGGCGAGCGAGGGGGGGGGGAGAGGGAGAAGGCCTTCTCAGATGGCGGCGGAGCTTCTCAGCTTCTCAGAAGTCCTCGCGCCTTCAGAGAAGTTGTTTCTGTCTTCGGGGGAGGCTCAGGAGACTTCCGAGCCTTCTGAGAAGGCCCGCCGCTTCTCACTTCCCCCCTTCGCTCGGCGCCGAATTTTCATCATCAGCATCAGCATCACCACCACCACCATCATCAACATCATCATCATCATTATCAACATCATCATCATCATCATCATCATCATCAGCATCATCATCATCATCATCATCATCATCGTCATCGTCATCGTCATCATCATCATTGCCCTCCTCTCTCGCCGCACTCCTGTGTATCTTGCTCGAGGGCTTGGCCCAGCGTAGCAGCATCCAGCGAGGCATTTAGACCTTCGGCGTGTTTTTGTTCACGACGTGGGCATCCGGAGCCCTCGACCCCTTCACAACACCGCTCTTGATTGCTCTGTCTTTGTTTGCGGTCCCTTGGGCCCGAAGATGGTCCCCAGAGGCCGACACGCACAGGAGGAAAGACAAAAAGAAAGCAATGTGTTCCTGGACAGGGCTCCAGCCAAGGGATCTCTTTTAGTGAACGGGTTTCTGACCCTAGACTGGAGGCGTGTCAAGCAGACGGCGTCGAAGTTGCGCAGGCAAGAATACGTGCGCGGAGGGAGGGGTATTCGAAATGCGTCTCGGCATGCATGCGTCTCGCACGTGTCTTCTCGTCGTTCCAGCGCCAGGGATGTTCATTATCGGAGCGGCGGATTCTCTACACGTAAACACACCTGCGCGGAGGGGTGGATAGCCAACATGCGTCTGGTGCATGCGCGTTTGGCACGTCTCTTCACATGTCCAGGCCAGCATGCGCATGTCCAACATCGGGGCGGCGGACTCTTCGAATATAAAAACATGCGCGGAGGGGGGGGGCGGGATTACAAAAATATGTTAGTTGAGGGTCTGATTTTTTCCAGGATCGAAAAAAAACGCTCAGACTTGTTTCCGGGGCCCGCCGTGCGGTAAAGCCTCAGAAATGCAATTGAGAGGTTGGTTGGTTGGTCAGCTGGCTGGTTGGTTGCGGATTGGTCGGTTGGTTGGTTCGCCGATGTTTTTTTTCTGGTCGTCCAGTGTGTTGGTTGTCTGATTCGTTGGGCGGTTGATTTGTTTGTTGGCGGGTCGGCTGGTGGATCGGTCTTTCGATTGGTTGACTTGTTGGGCAGGTGCTTCTAGTTGTTTGTTGGGTTTGTTGGATGGGTGGTTGGTTGGTGGGCTAGTTGGCCGGACGGTTATTTGGTTGATTGGTTGGTTGGTTTGCTGGTTGGTTGGTCGGCCAGTCGGTCGGTTGTTTGGTTGGTTGGTTGACGGATGGTTGGTTGGTTGGTTAATTGTTTGGTTGATTGGTTGAGAAGTTGTCCGGGTGGTTGGTTGGCTTTTGGGTTGGTTGACCGGTTGGTTAGTCAGTTGGTTTTTTGGTGGTGTGTGGTACGTCATGCGGCAACGCAGGGAGACGAAAGTAGGGGTGGCATGAAAAAAACAAAATAGTGTTCTATTCATCATGTGGGAACGCAGGGTGGTGGCAAAAATCCGATTCCATTGCACTGTCACGTGGCAACGCAGGGGGGTGGCCAAACTATTGCTCTGCTCTGTCCTTCACGTGGCAACGCAGAGAGGGCGGAAAACAAATGCTGCAGTCAACCCGCATAGTAAGGACGAGCAACTTTCCAAGATTACCTTTGCATCCTTCCCCTTCGGCCCATCCTTGGCCGCTTTCGCTGGCCGCGCCCCGCTCGCAAAGTGTCGACATGGCCTTCCAAGGCCCTTGCATCATTATCGCGCGTCCTTATCATACGAGTTGACTGTATTCTGGCTTACTTGACACATGGCAACGCAGGGGGGCGCGATAGGAAAAGTTGGTTATACTTCATTCGTTACGTGGGAACGCAGGGGGACGGAACACGCATACTGATTTGCCATACTCGTCACGTGGCAACCCAGGGGTTTTGAAAACTATGGTCTTACTTTTCAGTCGAGCATGACCCTCTACAGGAGGAACATTCAAGAATGGTAAAAGATAGTCTGGTGACGATTTCCCGTGTTTTGTTCGACTATGTTTGGTTATTTGTTGATTTGTTTTATTTTTATTTGTCTTCCAAAATCCGCTTGCAGGAGGACATTCCTTACCTGATTTTACTTGCCACGTGGCAACACAGTGGGGCGGAGGCAAGACTAACTCTACCCGTTACCGGGCGACGCAGAGGGGCGGTAAACACAAAGGAGCACATGCTGCTCCGCTCCACTCGTCAAGTGCCAATCCAGGGGGCGGAAACGGGCAGTATTGTGGTCGTCGTTTCCTTATCCATCGTTTTGCCGATCGGCGCGGGCCCTCGCACTCCCCTCCTCCCACCCCCCATTACAGAGTAGATCTCGGCTGTTTTGGGCGCCTGTCTCGAGCAGGTGGGGTCTCCCGCATAGGGCGCACTGCTGCAAACAGTCAAATCAAGGAGAGGTCCGGAGCAAGACCCCCCCCCTCCAGCCCCCCCCTTCCTTTCGCCCAATGTCGAAACGCCGAAGAAGAAAACGTTCACTATGTTCTACTCATCATGTGGTACCGCGTGCAATTCTGCTCATACTCGTCACGTGGCAAAGCAGGGGTATGGAAGCACACACTATCATGCTCTACTCTTCACGTTGCCAGACAATTCTGCTATGTTCGCCACGTGGCAGCGCAGGTGGGCGTTAAAAATGCCAGTCTGTTCTACTCGCCAAGGGGCAACGCAGAGGGGCGGGGAAAAAACACGGTTATATTACGCCCGTCATGTGGCAATGCACTGGGCGGGAAAAACACGGTTCTACAACGCACCTCACGTGGCGGCGTGAAATGATGCATATTGCAGGCATGTTCTCATGTTACTTTTGAAGATGGTCGACGTTGTGTCCAGAGCTTCAACGTACCAACATATGTTTCTTGAACACAGGCCCCGTGTACTATAGACCAGAGTATAGTCATCCCGCATAGTAAGGATGGGCAACCTTCCCAAGAGCACCCTTGCATCCTTCCCCTTCGGCCAATCCTTGGCCGCTTTTGCTGGCCGCGCCCAGCTTGCAAAGTGTCGGCATGGCCCTCCAAGGCCCTGGCATCCTTGCCGCGCATCCTGATAATGCGGGTCGATCGTATCTCATGTCCTCGGACAACATGCTACATTGGATTCTGGCTCATGAGATCTCACGCGCTTGCCGCCGATCCTATCCTGGCAGCGCGTTGCCAAGCGGGCGAAGGCGTTTCGGCCCTGGGGGAGGGGGTCCCCATCTTCCTCCATTCTAATCCCAGGACCTCCAGCGAAGTGGCGTGCCTGCGCCGATGGAAAACAGCGCCCGCGGCGCCTGCGCGCGCGCGCCACGATGCACGGTCGACGCCTGCGCCTTGCCATTTGAAGCGTTGCCGCCGTGCCATGCGCAGTGCCTGCGCCGACAGAAACCAACCAATGCCTGCGGCGCTTGCGCCAATGCCGCGGCGGACAGGCGCTGGCTGCACCCCATTATTTGACGCGCCTGCGGTTCCGGCGCTTTGCCACGCGCATGGTTAGCGCTGAAAAAAACCAGGGTCCGCGGCGGTTGCGCGAAAGCCAAGATACATCGGCGACGCCTGTGCCCCATTACTTGGCGCGCCTGCGACGCCTGCGCCTTGCCATGCGCAGCGCAATATGCAGACCAGGAGTCGGCTCACGCGGCTTCGGATAGACCGTTGTGGACGCGCCGACGACACCGAGGACGGCGATGGCGAGGAGTGAACCCTCGCGGCCATGATCCGCGATCCTCTACGCTCCGCCCCGTCGCGCGCTTCTTCCCCCAGTAGGGTACACGTGCTTCCTTTGCTCCACCAAGTGGCATGGGAAACCGCATGGGCTTCACTGATTGCGCCGGAGCGCAGGGGGACGGCCAAACTACTGCTCGAGTCTACACTTCACATGGCAACACAGACGAGGCGGAAACCAAAATCATTATGGCACACTCGTCACATTGCAAAGCAGGGGGCGCGAAGAAAAAATATGAGCGTACTCGATTCTTTACGTGGGAATGCAGATTGGGCGGAAACAAATGTTAGTCCGCTATGTTCGTCACGTGACAACGCAGAGGAGATGAGAACATATATTAATTCTGCTCTACTCGTCACGTTGCGGCGCAGAGGGGCGGAAGCAAATAGTATTATCTTCTACTCGCCACGTGACATTGCAGAGGGGACGGAACCTACTATGTTCGTTCGTCTGTCTCATTCGTCACAGGGCAACGCAGGGGAGCGGAGAAGACATTGTTCTATTCCATCCGTCACGTGGCGCGCAGCGAGGCGGAAACGACTTGTATCTTGCCGGATCCGTCACGTGGCCTCGCAGCTTGGGGCGGAAAGTGCGGTGCCAAACGACGCGCGCACGCCCAGACGCCCGCCCATGCGCCAGCTCGGGAGCGGCAAAGAGGGGGATGATGACTAGGGGAGGGTGGATATCAGGGCGTGGGCCATGATATTTCCTCAGATTTCATTTGTGCCTCTTCTTATTTCGTTACGTCCCTGGCCCCCCTTGGGCCGCGCACATGCCGCTGCCCTCTTGGGCGCCCGCCCGCCCGCACCCACGCACGCGCGCGCGCCCGCCGTGGCTCTAGGGCTGGTGGCAGGCGTCCGAGGTCCGAAGGCTCCGAGGCCTGCAGAAATCAGGGCTCTCCGCACCTGGCTCCCGGCGTCCACGGACCCGTGTCGGCACATTCCTCACAACGGGTGCTTGGTCGTGTCTCAGTACCCATCGATCGTTGAGATTAGGTAGTTTGGGGATTCCCAGGTTCCAATGGTCCAGAGGCTTCACCTCTTCCGTCCTCCTTTTGGGGGGCGGACGGAACCCAATCTATTTTCAACGCCTTCCTACTTCATGTTTCTACCCACTTCTTCCGACCAATGGGTACTGCATACCCCGGGTTCTTCAGTCTTGTCCAGCAGCAATGCCCAGCAACGCCAAGCAATGCCAAGCACCCCCAAGCAATGCGCTTAGGCAATAGATGGGTTCCCCCTGCTTGGGATCGCGCCGGGTTCATTTTTAGCCCTGAAAATTCGACCCGCGCACTGAAGAGGCTTGACCTTCAAGACAAAATGTTCAAGACCCGAGCGGACAGGGGATCCACTATGCGTCTAGAGCGTGCGCGTTTGGCACGTGCTTCACGCGTGCGTAAACATCCAAGCGGCGGATTCTTCACACGTAAAAATACGTGCGCGGAGGGGGATCGCTCTTGCTCGACTCGCCGCGGGCGCCGCAATCTTTGGCGGGCTCGCGCCTGAACCAGAGCCGCGGCGGCTGGTCCCCTCACGACTGTTCCGCCAGATCGCCGCGATGCCAGGATGGTTTGACCAGACCGGTGCGAGGAGGAAGATCGTGCCGAGTCCGGCTGGCCGTTCGGCTTCGCGCTTTGCGGGGCGAGTCCGACCGTAGTGACGCAGACGATGGGGCACAGGACCTCCGACCAACAGCCATAACCAGATACAAACGGTCTTTTTGCATCATGTTGCGCACGCAGCGGGCGCCGCAATCCCGCGACTTCGCGCGACCACTGAGCTCCCAGGGCTTCCTTTTTCCAGCCGCGCGGCCGAGGTCGCAGCCAGAGCGGCGCGAGGAGGAGGAGGAAGAGGAGGAGGAGGAGGAGGAGGAGGAGGAGCACGGGAACGAGGGAGGATTAAGAGCAGGAGCAGGGAGCAGGCAGTCGAAGTGGGGCCCAGAAGCATGGAGAAAGAAGGAGGGAGGAAAATGAGGAGAAGGCGGAGGGGAGATGTGCGAAGCCTCGGCCCAGAGGATTTCGAACGGGAAGGGAGGAGTAGGAGGAAGAAGACAAGGAAGAGGAAGAGGAAGAGGAGGAGGGTGAGGAGGAGCGAAAGGAGGAGGAGGAAGAGGAGGAGGAGGAGGAGGAGGAGGAGCACGGGAACGAGGGAGGATTAAGAGCAGGAGCAGGGAGCAGGCAGTCGAACTGGGGCCCAGAAGCATGGAGAAAGAAGGAGGGAGGAGAATGAGGAGAAGGCGGAGGGGAGATGTGCGAAGCCTCGGCCCAGAGGATTTCGAATGGGAAGGGAGGAGTAGGAGGAAGAAGACAAGGAAGAGGAAGAGGAAGAGGAGGAGGGTGAGGAGGAGCGAAAGGAGGAGGAAGAGGAGGAGGAGGAGGAGGAGGAGGAGGAGGAGGAGGAGGAGCAGCGCAGCAGCAGCAGCAGCAGCAGCAGCAGCAGCAGCAGCAGTTGAAGGGGGAGAGGAGGAGGACGAGCACGAGGACGAAGAGGAATCTAAGAGGAGGAGGAGGAGGAGGAGGAGGAGGAGGAGGAGGAGGAGGAGGAGGAGGAGGCGAGGTGGATTCACTGGTGCCTACGCGCACCTGATGAAAACCAATCAGCCTTACTCATTGGCCTGGTTTTGCGGAATGGCATACTTTTCTTGCGGTTCCTGGTCCCGCTGGCTTCGGTTTCTGGGCCCCAGGGCGCTTCCCCGAGAGCCCGGATCTTGCCCCCTGGTCCTGGAGCTTTTGGGCCCCCAGGGGCCGAGATCTGCCGCGCCGTGTCTCGTTGTGCCGTGGAGGGCAGAAGCTGCTGCACTGTTTTGTTGGCCGCGCTCGTTCGCGTTCCGAGGCGACGCTGCACGCGCGCAAAAGGTGCAGGGCGGCCGCGCCCTGGAAAAAGACCACACGAGCTCGGGGGGGCAGGGTCGGAAAGAGTCAACTAGACGTATGAGTGACCTTTCGCCGGAGTGACCTATGGTGCGGGCGCAGATGGGTCCCCAGCGCCCAGGTTTGGTCCCCCTCGGCCCCCAGAAAGCCGCGCACCGAAGGTCACTCTTACCCAGGGCCGCTCTTGCGTGTCGCCGAAGGAGGACCCCGCCAGTTCCTACAGTCAAGACGCTGAGATCAGGACCGCTCTGGGATCAGGAGGAATTCGGGTTTTCGGGCCGTTTTTTTAATTGTGTCGTGGAGCCTGCTCATGGCCTGAGCCCTCCGTGGCCAGAAAGGCCCCTTCGCTCCTTGTTGCACTTCCTTTTTATGGCAGCACGACGACTGTAGCCTTGCATCGGGCATGTCCCCCTACAGGAGATATATTCAAAAATAGTCTAGAAATAGTTCGAAGACGATTGTTCGGTTATGTTTTGACTATTGTTGGGCATTTTCTTGATTGTTAAAATTTCGACCAAGATCCGCCTGTAGGGGGATACGCCCGACCTAACCGTAGCCCCAACGGGTGCGGCTCCCCGAGCTCGGGCTCCCCCAGCTGACGGCTGGCACGCCAGCCGGCAGCGAGCGCGTTCCGCGCACGACCACCCGCCCGCCCCCACCCGGCGCACGGCCGGCCACGCCACCCTTCTGGGGCGCAGGCGGGGGGGGGGTGGCCCAGGCCCAGAGACCCGACGCTCCAAACAAATTTGAGCGGCAGGCTTTTCGCCGTGTTAGGCCTCTGGGGGCCCTCGCCGGGCCTCGGAAGCGTGAAAAACGACTCGGGACGAAAAGCCGGCCCTGGGGAAGTGGTCCAGACTTCCGGGGCCTACGCATCGAAAAAATTGGAGCAGCCGGGTGTTTTGGGGTATGGGCGGGGGGGAGCATCGGCCCCCAAGCGCCCACTCAGCGCCCATCGGGGCGCCACCACCCAGCCCAGAAGCGTGCCGCTTCGCTACATCGAGGGCCCATCGCCGATCAATTGGCAATGTATAGCCGCCTCCAACCCAACGGGTTCCCCCCTGAGCCTGTCCTCCTCTGTCGCCCCCACTCAGAACCCTTTGCCTTTGTGCCCAGCAGAGCCGCCAGTGTCCAGCATTCAGTAAACAGTGGTTGTGGAAGTCTGGGCCCCTCGATCGCAGGCCCGGGAGGGTAATAACAAGACGGACGGGGGAGGAGGGGTCAGGAGGGTTGGGACGGAGTAAAAGGAGGAGGAAGTGCTAGACGACGCGGCCAATGGACCAGAGTCAGGGCGACGCAAAATGAGGAAGAGGAGGAGGGATGAAAAGGAGGAGGAGGAGGCGGAGGAGGAGGAGGAGGAGGAGCAGCAGCAGCAGCAGCAGGAGGAGGAGGAGGAGGAGATGGAGGAGGAGGAGGAAGGAGGAGAGAAGGAGGAGGGGGAGGGGGAGGAGGAGGAGGGAGGGAGGAGGAGGGAGGGAGGAGGAGGAGGAGGAGGAGGAGGAGTGAGGAGGGAGGGAGGAGGAGGAGAGGAGGAGGAGGAGGGGGAGGGAGGGGGAGGGAGGGAGAGGAGGAGGAGGAGGAGGAGGCGGAGGAGCACAACGAGGAGGAGCACAAGGAGGAGGAGGAGGAGGAAGAGGAGGAGGAGGAGGGGGAGGAGGAGGAAGGAGAGGAACAGGAGGAGGGGGCGCAGGAGGAGCAGGAGGGAGAGGGCGAGGGACACCTCAGACCCGCGCGGGGGAGCGGGCGCGGTGCGCGAGCACGACGAGCGCGGACGAGCGCGGCGGCGGAGCCCAGCAGGCTCGGCCAGGCCGCCGCCGGCGCGGCCACGGCGCTCGGCGAGGCGGGAAGGCGCGCGGCGGCCCGGGCCTCGGCGCCCCGCCTCGGGCCGCGCCCTCGCCGCCGCTGGCGGTGTCGCCGGAACGGCAGGCCTTCTGGCGGGCTGCGGGAACGACGGGGCACGCAGGGGAATGTGCTCGGCGGCTGAAGAGGCCCCCAAGATCGTCCCAAGACGGCCCAAGATGCTCCGAGGGTGCCCCGAAACGGCTCCGGAGGGCCTCCTAGACGGCCCAAGAGGCCTCCCAGACGGCCCAAGGAGCCCCCAAGACGGCTCCAAGAGGGAGCCCAGACCAAGATCGGCGGCGAGCGAGGGGTGGAAGTGAGCAGGAGAAGCCCCTCTCAGAAGGCGGCGGTGCTGCGCAGCAGCCCTCGCGCCTTCTGAGGAGGGTTCCCGCGTCTTCGGGAGAGGCTCAGAAAACGTGTCAGAAGTTCATCTCTCGTGGACAGCGCCCGCAGTGACACCGACGGATAATATTGTCCGAAATGGGCATGAACCGATAGCGGCCGTCGTCCTCGTCCTCTCCGCCCCAACTTAGGACCTCCGAGCCTTCTGAGAAGGCCCGCCACTTTTCGCTTCCCCCACCGCGGGCTCGCTGCCTACTCGCCGGAGCCTGCAGAGGGGCGCCCCCAGAGAGGGCCCTGCCTCCGAGGGTCTGAGGGCCCAGGCTTCTTCGCTGCCTTCGGCCTCCGGGAGCCCTTGCCGGGCCTCGGGGGCCTCAAACGGCGACTCGGGATGAAAGGCTCGTCCCCGGCAGGGGGTCCAGTCCTCGGTAGGCCTTCACGTCATGACCGTGTTTCCGATACCGTTTCGGTTGTTCTGTCGTATGTGTATTGGGCCGTTTCTGGCGCCTTTTCACGCTGCTGGCGCCCCTGCTTTACCGTGCTCGTTTCCCCTGGTGAAGGCCCAGTCCAGATCACAGTTTCATCCCAGGTCCGAACCGTTCCCGAGCGTCCTTCGGAGCCCGGGAGCGCCCAGGCCGCCTTGGTCAGGTGAACCGCGTTTTACCGTTTCGATGCACATGTTTCTTTCCGCGTTCAGGATATTGAGGCATCTTGGGGTTGAAAACATCTTTGCACACAAAAAAAATGTGACCCGCAAGCAACGAGACGGCTTTACTCGGGGCCCCCCATGAGCAGGCCCACAGGTCGCTGGTCGTTCAGAGGGGCGCTTTCAAAACGTGGTGAAAATGAAGGCTGTTAGGATTTATGGAGCCTGGCATCGCTCGGACGTGTGCGTTTTTTCCTCGGCGAGGACCATCGAGGAGCATCCTTGATCATTTGGAGAAAAACCACGCACGAAACCGAAAAAAAACAGGGAATGGACGTCCGAGCGATGGCGAGGGAGGGGAGTCCGCGTTGTCTAACCGATCCCCATCCCCACTGGGCCATGGCATCTCAGCCCGCTCAGTCCATCATCCTAGGTGGGGGTAGGCCCCGCGATACCCGGAACAACCAGCACATGTGATCCCAGGTCGAGGGTCCACAGGCCCCCCCACCCAGATGGGAGTTCCACAGGCCCCCCCCAGATGGGAAGGGGGGACGAAGACGCCGACACCGAGGCCGCCGCCGACGCCGACGTCGACAGCGACGCCGACGACCCGACGACGACGCCGACGCCGACGCCAACGCAAACAAAGACGCCGACGCCGACACTGACGACGACGACGACGACGACGACGACGACGACGACGACGACGACGACGACGACGACGACGACGACAACTTCGACGCTGATGCAGTTGCCGACGCCGACGCCGCTGCCGCCGACGCCGACGCCGACGCAGACAACGACGCGGACGACAGACGGTGGACGACGACCGACGTACGACGGACGACGGACGACGGACGGCGGACGACGGACGACGGACGACGGACGACGACGACGACGACGACGACGCCGACGACGACAACGACGACGACGACGCCGGCGAGGACGACGCCGACGACGACGACGACAACGACACCGACGCCGACGCCGACGCCGACTCCGACGCCGACGCCGACGCCGACGCCATCGCCGACGCCGACGCCAACGCTGACGCCGACGCCGACGACGACGCCGCCGCCGACGACGACGACGCCGACGTTGCCGACGACGACGACGACGACGACGACGACGATGACGACGACGACGACGCAGCCGCCGGCGCCGCCGACGCCGACGCCGACGCCGACGCCGACGTACGACATACGACGTACGACGGACGACGACGACGACGACGACGACGACGACGACGACGACGAATCACCTCACACCCACAGGGGCAGAGGGGGTGCACTGGCACCCTCCACGCCACGACCACGGGGGCAAGGGGGGGAATTCCCATTCGCGAGGCTTTCGCGAGGCTCACGGGCAAACCGATCCCTTGCGCGGGGGGCTTGATCCCATATGCACTCGGGAGGAGGGGGGGCAACCTTGGATCATACGTATATCTCTATATATACACATACATACATACATACATACATACATACAGACAGACAGACAGACAGACAGACAGACAGACAGACAGACAGACATACATACCTATATATATATATATATATATATATACCCACCTAGGTGGGTAAGTCGTGGGGCCAAGGCGACGCCAGGGGTTATAGGGATCGGTTAAACGATGCTCAGGGAGTTGGGGCGAGAGGGTGTAATGCAGCACTGTTGATACATATTCGGTTTACTCTGGTTCTTCTCCGCGTCCTGTTCCTCCCCCATCGCCTTCATAATCTTCATCGCAATCGTTTGTGTAATCACAAATCCCAATCTCATCGTCATGCTTATTATCCCTCTGCCCTCTTTCCTTTCCTCCACCCTATCCTTCATGCTCCCTTCTCCCCCCCCTCCCTCAGTTCTCCATACTTCTCATCCCCGCCCGCATAGCTAAACTGATTGGACTGAGTCGAGTGGGAGTATGGCAAGCTGCCTCGAGGGCAAGTAGTTCGAGCTGGGCCACACTGTACCTTTGCAAGAAAGCTTCCTGCACGATGCACTACCTTAAGGAGGTCTTCGGATGAAGTGCGGCTCGGGCGAGACAAACGAAGACCCTTGATCCAAGTCAGGTCCAGTCGGGTCGAGCCGACGCAGACCCAGGCTGTCATAGTTGGACTGAAAACGAGCTGGTCTGATAGACACACCCACGCTAAGACCACTTCGGTGGTCTATCCTATACTGTTTCAAAATCAAGTCATGCCTTGTTAATGATCCGCGTCTGCTCTACCGCCGTCGCCCTTCCTCTGCTCGAAGTGTCCCTGCCCGCTCCTGCGGTGGCGCAGTGCTCCTGCTCGACCCGCTCCCCAGCCCTCGTCGCCATCATCCTCCGAAGTGTGTGTGGGGTTCCGGAGTGTGCAGGATACACGAGGGGAATCCAGACTCTCTTCTCGCCTCCGCCCCGAGTGCACGGTACATGTTTTGCCCGCGGGCCCGGCGAGCGCGCGGGCTGGTCAAGTAGCTGAGAAGCGCCGAGCGCTTGATTGGGCCCATCGACAGGCAGGAAAGAGCAGGGCGGTGCGGCCGCGGGGGAGGAGGGGGCAGGGGAGGGGCGGGGTCAGGCCGCGCAGGCCTTCGCCAGCGGGCTGCGCCCAGGGGCGCGACGAAGTCGCAGGCAAGGGGCCAGGAGCGCCCTGAGGAGGGGGCGCAGTCGGACTTGATGGATGCCTTGCCGAAGTTTATCGCGACCTCCCATTTGTCCTCACTACGTCGTTTTGGAAGCATTTTTTCTTCACGCCTTTCAAGCTTGAGTTCAGAGGACATGCCGCACTGGCGGGTCGTCGAATACGCGGGCTCACCCAAAAGGCATACCTCGGACAGCTTCGACCTCTTCAGGTTGCTCTCGCAGCTGGATTGCCTGCAGAAGTGGTTCACACGTAGTCTTGTTCGTGTTATTCGCCCTCTGGTGCCAAAATCCCGCGTCTTCAGCATTGGCTTCAAGCGGGGCTTCTGCAGCGACGACATCATCTCTGTTTTACGCCAGTGTGTCTGCTCAGCCCACAAATGGGGCCGACAGTTGTTGGTAGGGGCGCAGGATGTGGCTTTTGCATTTGATTCCATTGACCATCAAGTATTGAAAGATGCCATGTTGAAACGAGGTGTGCATCCAACTATTGTTCGTAGTTTTCTCCGCGAGTTGTCGGGACTCACTGCCCGGCTGCGCGTAGTAGGGGCCAGAAGTACAGAGCCGTTCGATCTCCAACGGGGTGGGAAACAGGGCGCCCCTGACACGCCTGACGAGTTTAATTTGTTGTTAAAGTATGTGTTGGAGCCTTTGGTGGAGGATTGGCATCGACGAGGCCTTGGGTATTCTCCCGGATACGTTGTACCTCTGATATCCCACATGATTTTTGTTGACAGCCTATTCTCATTTGCATCAGGATTGGAACAGTACCGCCAGATGACCGCCTAGCTGACTCGCGCCGTGTGTCTGCACAAATTGGATTGGAAGCGTGATTCCCTGGAGTTCATGTGCGTCGACGGCCTTGCCACGGAAAATATCGACACACTGGCAGTCGGTGCAGCAGGGCGGAATGGCACGCCTGTCGTCTTCCGCCGCGTTTTCGAGATGGTGGTATTGGGCAACCTCGTGGACATCAAGGGCTCTGCTCGGCGTAGCCTGGATCACAGGTTCCTGAAGGCCGAGGGGTGCTATTGGGCGTCTTGGTCGATTGTCCTGCACAACACAGTCTTGCTTACGCAGGCCATCATGTCGAATGAGGCGACCGCGAACGTCGTGTTGCTTTCGTGGTGGATTGCCAGCCGGCACAGCGCATCGCAATGGGATTGCTACTCCTGAACGGCACGGCTTCGGAACAAAACTTCGAGTGCATCTGCAACAACTTGGCCAAGATCATTGGTGCAGGTTGGCTCCCTCCACAGGTGTGTCATGACCCCGTGATTTGGCGTGAGCGCGAGCACAACCTAGTCGCTGACTTCCTGTTTAACTTCGCAACGGACTCCCAGGGATCGTGGAGCAAACACTTTGATGTCCCGTTTCCAGGCGTAGCCCTTGATAGTTGTAACTGCATTGTCCATTCAGATGGTGGCACCCGTGCTCAGAGCTGCTCCGCGACCGGCTGGGTGATCGAAGTAGGGCGCACCATCGAAGAAGCGTTGCATTTCAGGCCTCTCGCGATGTCGGGGCGATTTTTCGCCACGCCGATTTCGTCTTTCCAATCGGAGGCCCTTGCGCTTGAAGAGCGCACGCTTTTCTTGCTGAAGTTTCTGACGTGCTCACGCGGTGGCGCAAGCGGTACCAGAGACGCCCGCCTCTGAGCAACGAGCGAATAGAGATTGACAGCTGGCCCCGGAGGGGCCCTAAGCTTTGCAAACAGAACAAAAAAAGTCGAGCGCACAACACGCCCGAAGCAACGAGCGGCCCCCGAGCCCGATTGCCCGGTCGCAGCCCCTGTCCAGTCACGCGCGCTCTTGACGGGCATATGTTCCACGACCACCACCGTAGGTAGGAGGAGGAGGAGGAGGAGGAGGAGGAGGAGGAGGAGGAGGAGGGGAGGAGGAGGAGGAGAGAGAGATGAGAGAGGAGGAGAGAGCAGAGAGAGAGAGGAGAGAGGAGAGAGGAGGAGAAAGGAGGAGGAGGAGGAGGAGGGGAGGAGGAGGAGGAGGGGGAAGGGGGAGGGGGAGGAGGAGGAGGAGAGGAGGAGGAGGAGGAGGAGGAGGAGGAGGAGGAGGAGGAGGAGGAGAGAGGAGGAGGAGGAGGAGGAGGAGGAGGAGGAGGAGGAGGAGGAGGAGGAGGAGGAGGGAGGAGGGAGGAGGAGGAGGAGGAGGAGGAGGAGGAGGAGGAGGAGGAGGGGAGGAGGAGGAGGAGGAGGAGGAGGAGGAGGAGGAGGAGGAGGAGGAGGAGGAGGAGGAGGAGGAGGAGGAGGAGGAGGAGGAGGAGGAGGAGGAGGAGGAGGAGGAGGAGGAGGAGGAGGAGGGGAGGAGGAGGAGGAGGAGGAGGAGGAGGAGGAGGAGGAGGAGGAGGAGGAGGAGGAGGAGGAGGAGGAGGAGGAAGAAGAAGAAGAAGAAGAAGAGGAGGAGGAGGAGGAGGAGGAGGAGGAGGAGGAGGAGGAGAGGGAGGAGGGAGGAGGGAGGAGGGAGGAGGGAGGAGGGAGGAGGGAGGAGGGAGGAGGGAGGAGGGAGGAAGAGAAGGGGGACGAGGAGGAGGAGGAGGAGGAACATGAAGAAGAGGAGGAGGGACGAGGAGGAGGAGGAGGAGGAGGAGGAGGGACGAGGAGGAGGAGAACGACTGTGCTGGACCATGCTGGTTAGGTCTTAAACGCAGACGCATGGCACTACGCGAGACAGCTGATTCGGTGTGAGAGTGAGTTCACATGCGACATTGTTGCGAAGCGTGGGGCAACACGTTGGCTAGCACGCTTTCAGACGAGGAACTTAAAGTTGCACGCTAAGGCAGCGCACGACACCTCTTACAAGTAGGTCCCCAGGGCATTGTTCCATCGAGTGGCAAGGCCATTCGCCGTATTATGTATTTTCTTTTTCCTGAGGCCCTTGACTTCTGATGGCCTGCCCTTCACCGCTTCGAAAGCCAGAGGACGGAGGGAGAGACGGGGGCGGAGGGGAGGAGGAGGGGGAAAAGAAAGGAAGAGGGATGACACCCACAGCTCAGACCGACCCCGCCCCGACCTTCTTAGACGCACACGTTCTTGCCGCAGCGGATGTGGTCCATGGTCCTCGGTGCGGTGGCGTACGGCCTTTCCTGGATGAAGCCACAAGTGTGGCCCTCACATGCATCACCAGCTGCATCACCTCGGCTTTCGAAGGTGTTTTGCCTCGTCAGGGGAATCCTCGGGTTCCTTGTCCCTGGTCATCACCAGCATTTTGCCTCCCTTCGCGGCCCCGAGCGGCACTGCAAGTTCCAAGTTTGCCGATTCGAACTCCCAAAGGTGATTACGCGCCTGAGCCATGCTTGAGGGAAATTGCTGAGGAATGAGAAAGAGGAGGAGGAGGAGGAGGAGGAGGAGGAGGAGGAGGAGGAGGAGGAGGAGGAGGAGGAGGAGGAGGAGGAGGAGGAGGAGGAGGAGGAGGGGGAGGAGGAGGAGGAGGGGGGGGAGGGGGAGGGGGAGGGGAGGGGGAGGGGGAGGGGAGGAGGAGGACTTCTCCCCCGTCCTACCTGTGGTACTGGCGATGGAAAATCAGCAAATCGGCGCCTGCGCCCTGCCTCCGCGGGCTGGGCGACGCCCCCCCCCTGGAAGCGCCGACGGCGCCGCGCCGTCCTGCGCCTGCCGGGCCCGGGCCATCCACGGAACCGCGCTCTCCGCCGCGCGCCCTTGCCGGGCGGAGAGCGGCCCTCCTGCCCCGGGGGGGGGCGCGGCGCGACGGAGCGCCCCGCGCGAGGCGCGAGGCGCGAGGCCAGGCGGCGCCAGCGCGGGGCAGCAGGGCGCACTGGACGCGTCGGTCGGCGCTCGCTGCCGTGGGGGTCACGGTCAGGGCTGCGCCCGGGCCCCTGGCTCGGGCGGGGGCAGGGACAGGACATGGAGGGAGGCCCAGACAGCCAGCGTCTCGAAGAGCTCGGGGCGGAGGTGTTCCGTCGTTGTTCGGCCTCTGGGGGCCTTTTTGCTGGGTTTCGGGGCCGTCCGAAGAACGGCTCGGGATGACAAGCCGGTCCCGGGGAAGTGGTCGAGAGGGCGGGGGGCCGCGTTTCGAAAAAAACATAACGCCAGATGTCTGGGGAATGGGGAAGCAGAAGAAGAGCACAGGGGGGGCGGGGCATGGGCCACCACACGTCGACACCCGCCGCCGCTTTCCTGTCTGAGGGGGAGGAGCTGCTGTTCTTCGCGATGGTCTGGTTCTTCCACGCGAGCGACCGAAAAACGAGTTCGTATTCACCGACATCGGCGCGTGAATCGCCAGCGTCAGCTCGCGCGTGAGCGCCTCGTTCCCAGTGTGGCGTGCCGCGCTGGCGGCCCGCGTGAACCGCAGCGCAAGGTCGCTGTGTCATCGCGCGTGAGACTCGTTTCCTTTGCGTCGCTGCTGTGTTTTCGCTGTGCCGCGCCGAGGTCGGTGCCCTCCTCTGGTCGTCCGGCGAGTGCCCCAGCCTCTACGAGCTGGCGCCGCGGGTGCCCGCAGAGCTGGCGCCCGGCGTGGCGCGGGCGCCCCCCCTGCCGCGGCCGCCCCCGCCCTCTCGAGCGGCCTGGGGCCCGCTCCCAGGCTATGGTCGGGAGCGTTGGCTTGGCGTGTCGCTCCGCCAGGTCGCGACGACACGCTGTCCACGTCGCGGTCCCCGATCGTCCACGTCCCGAGCTGTTCCCGGCTTCCCGCCCCGCGGAGCGGAGCGACACGCCATCCGCTCGCACGGCACGGCGTGTCGCCGGGGCCGCCGCCGCCGGCGCGCCACGGTGTCCAAGAGTTCCTGGCCGCATGTCGCGCGCATCGCGTGATTCTGCGTGGGGGGCGCCCTCTCCTCTGCCTGCCGTTCTTCAAGGCTCCTGCCGCCTGCACGCGCGCTCCCCGCCGCAGGCGCGTCTCCTCCGCGTCGGGTGCGCAGCGCAGATCCTTGTACACGCGGCGGGTCGCGGCCTGCCTTCACTCGGCGGCGAGCCTGCGGGGGGGAAGTGAGAAGGGACGGGCCTTCTCAGGAGGCTCGGAAGTCCCCCTTGCCTTCCGAGAAGTGTTCTGAGCGCTCCCTGGAGACACAGAACACTCCTCAGAAGGCGCGAGGGCTTCTGCGAAGTTCCGCCGCCTTCTGAGAGGGCCTTCTCCTTCTCACTTCACCCTCTCGCTCGCCGACGATCCAATGACGGCTTTGGGCTCGCGGCGGCCCTCCGCGGATGGGGTCGATCTGGGGCTCGTCGGCTGGGATGGCCCCCCCGCCCCTGCGGCGCTTCTTGCGCGACGACAGCCGATCGAAAGGCATCAGCCGCCGACTCACCCGCAGCGCTGGGTGACGTTGGCCGATTGCCGCGCATCCCTCGCTGTCTAGCTCTCGCGGCAGTGGGGCCCCTGCGCAGGCGGAGGCAAACAACTGAAACGGGGGGACCTGGCCCTCGAGGCATCGAGGGGCTGCCAGGGCCGCGCTGGCGGCGATGTTGGCCAACGGCCGTGTTGGGAGCCTGGCTTCGGCGGCGCAGAACTCGCGCAGAGCAGATTATAGGAAGACACGACCAGGCCTCTCCTGCAATGGGGTCGGCCACGAGCCACCCCCACCTGCCACACCGACACCTGCATCGCCACCACCCACGTCGCCGTTGGCGTGTCTGCGGGGTGGACATCTCTCTCTGGGCGGAGGGCGGCGGGAGCGAGACGTGGGCGGCTCCGCCGCTGGAGACGCGGCGAAGTGCCGGCGCCGACTGGAGGAGGCGCGAGCGCTGCGCCCCGGAGAGAGATGCCAACACCGTTGGGCTCGGAGCTGCCGGAGCGGGCAGCACGTGGGGCGTCGTGGGCACGGCACAGCCGCAACGGGCGGGGCACGGGCAGGGCGTGATCGCAGCAGGCAAGGCACGGCTGCCTCAGGCTGCGCGCGCAGGCGTGGCCCGACGGGCAGAGGCGGGCCCCTCGGCTCGGCGGGCCAGCCGCCGCCCACCGCCAGTGGATGCACCAGGCCGCCATGACGGTCGGATCGGACCCAGCAGAGCCCAGAGCTCCTCCCCCTCCTCCTCCTCCTCCTCCTCCTCCTCCTCCTCCTCCCTCCTCCTCCTCTCCTCCTCCTCCTCCCTCCTCCTCCCTCCTCCTCCTCCTCCTCGTCCTCCTCCTCCTCCTCCTCCTCCTCCTCCTCCTCCTCCTCGTCCGTAGCCATTTTGGCTCAAGACTTCATGCTCGGGAGGCATCCGCCTCCTGGCCTGAACGGGATAGCTCTGTTCCCCGAGCTTGCGCGAGGGCTGTTCAGCCCGACAGTCTTACACCCACGATCCTCACAGGAGCTGCCCAGCGCTGTGAGCACTTCCGTCTTTTCCCCACGGCGTCTGCGCAATGGCGGAGTGGGCCGCGCGGCCTGGAGCGGGCGATGCTGATGATCGCGCTGCTGCAGCTGAGCGCAGTCACAGTCGGGGTCGCCGTCGCCCACCTGAGCGTGCCGAGCCCGCCGGTGCACGGCCACGGGAGGCACCATCCGCCGCCGCGGCAGCAGCATGGGCGGAATGGACACCGCCAACCTACCCGTCTCAAGAACGCGGTGGCGATGCCCTTCAACGCCGCGATCCCTGGGCGGGGCATGCACCTGGCGGGGTGGCGCGCGGCGACTACGCCCACTCCCGCTACGCCATGGTGCAACCGCCTGCAGGCATGGCAGCCGCTGGCGGTGGCCCAGGGGAGGCACCTGCCGCTGGAAGCGCCGCAGGTGGCGAAGGTGGCCTTGGACACGGCGCCCACCCGGGTCGTCCAGGTGGTGGCCCGAGTTCCCACCCCATCCACGACCCGAACGAGCCCATGGAGCAGAGGCTCTCGAACGTCATTGCGAGCCAGTTCTCTGCGATGCAGCACGACCTCCAGACCTACATGCAGACCACAATGGGAGCGGCTATGGCTGCGATGCAGACGGACCTTGCCGCCACGCTGCAGCAGCAGCTTGCGCCCACCATCCAGCGCGTCACCGACACCGAGCGTGACGTCCGCACCGTGCAGGACCGCACGTCGGAGCTGGAGCGCGAGCAGCGACACCTGCGGGAGCAAGTGCAAGCCATGCAATCAGCTCTCTCGATGGCGGAGGCGGCCAGCTCAAGCGAGTCCATCGATGTCGCTCGCCTGGCCACCTGGGACAGGCCCACGAATCCGCAGCTCTTCAGCATCAACACAAGCACCGAGGTCACGAAGAACGCAATCATGGAGGGGCTGGCTGAGTGGTTTGACCATGCGAACGTGCGAAAGGACGCAGTGCAGGTTGTGGGGCCTGACGCTCCCGCCAAGAAGTTTGCCCTTTTCCTCCCGGGCAAGGAAGCCGGCGTTCTTCGTGCTCAGGCCCTCACCCGCGCTCTTCGGGATGAAACTGGGCAGTACCGCAAGTTCACCGCGACGGCAGTGGACGGTTGTGAGACTAACATATATATCGGGGCTGACCGAAACCCACGCCAGATACGGAAGGAAGTCCAAACTAAGAAGCTCATGCAGATACTTCAGCGTCAGGCGCCGAATGGCGAATGGTGGACTAAGCGCCAAATGGGATTGGTTTACTGCGCGGATCTGCCGATCGTGGAGGTCATCCCAGGAGCAGCCCCAAATGATGCGACGAAGTTGGCATGGAACCCTGAGACCTCCAACGTGCACAATATCAACAAGGAGACCGCCACGGCCGCATTCCACAACATGTTCCGTGAGGTTGATACCGCGTCTTGGTCCTGCTCCTGATCAGCGGTGGCGTCCATGGGACCTGGAGCCTGGGGAGCAGCAGATCCAGATCGTCTCATGGAACGCCTCAGCCCTTCTCTGCCGAAACTCTACCCGACGACGGAATAAGGTCAACAACCTGGCGCGCTTGATGCGGAAGCGGGCCATCATTTGTATCCAGGAGTCACATGGTACCCATGAGGCGCTGCAAAACTACATAAACCAGTATCCGTTCGAGTACCGCGTCTTCAGCGCCATGGGCCCGCGCCCTGGGATTGGAGGCACGGCCATCCTCGTCCCCAGCTACTCTCAGCAACAGCTCGCCGAGCATCCGCCTGAAGATCACCCGGTCTTCGAGCACAAGGTGCTGGTGGAAGGGCGTGCTCAGTGTATCCAGATCGAGAGTGGCAAGTGGAACTCTGCGGTAAGGATCCTGAACGTGCACAACCACGAGCTGAGCCACGACGACAGGAGCGCGATCCGCCGCGCCTGGTTGGCGAACGCGGAGCGGGCGCACCAGAACGAGCTGGAGCGCCTCGCCGTGGCGATCGGGGACTTCAACATCTCCGACTCGCCGTCGGACAGCCTCTTGTTTCCTGAGGCCCGCCAGGCCCGCCTTTCGCGGGAGAGCCGTGCCCAGCACGGCGAAGCTTTCTGGAGAGCCCTTTTTGCAGGCCAGATGACCGAAATTTCGACCGACCTCCCCACCCATTTCTCTCGCTCCCCCTCCACGGCGACGACGATCGACCGCGCCTTCGTCTCCCTCAGCCCCCACTTCCTCCTAGAGACCGAAGCGGCCCTCGATATCCTGCAGGAGGCCCCGGCCATGGCCGAGTGGAAGCTTAGCGACCATGCCATCATTTCTCTTACTCTGAAGCCTAGGTCAGGCAGGAATCGCGCTCATCAGTCTATCCCGGCTTTCATTTTCAAGCATCCTCGATACAAAACGGTGCTCGGCAACTGTCTTGCTGGCTGCGATCTTGATTCCCTCTCCCCTCCCGAGGCTTGGTCCACTCTGAAATCCAACATGATCGTGGCCGCGGGCGTCGTTCGCCGCGAGGTCCAGAGGCAGCCTGATTGCGATGGCCCGGAGTATTCTGCCAGTGCCCGTTGCATGACACTCCGAGCCATCGCCCGGGCAATTTGGAGGCAGGATATACATTCAGCAGCCCGAATTCAGGCCCACTCAGTGTACGGGTCTCGCTTCATTTTAATCACAGGTGCCCGAGTGTGGTTGCAGGATGATGAAGGTTTTCGGGCCGAGGTAATTGCCCAGAACTCTCTCAGGCACTCTCAAATACAAGAAGAGGCCGCTGCACGAGCGCGCGACCAGCCGGGCCAGATCCAGCATTGGGGCAAGGTCCAAGAGACCTCTGTCAGGCGAGCGTTGCTCTGGAGGCCGAAGCAAAGGCGGTTGGTTCTGAGGGGGATTCGGGTCTCACAAGAGGGCCACCAGAGCGACCTCGCGCCGCCTATCTCGTCGGAGACTGTGCGCAGGCCAGGATGTTCACTCAAGGTTTGCCCCTCTGTTTCCTCTTCCTCCTCCTCTTCCTCCTCCTCCTCCTCCTCCTCTTCCTCTTCTGACCTGGTGCCCCATCGCGCTGGGCATGCTGCACAAGTGGGGACAAACATTTACTTAATGCTTCCAGAAAGTGTCACCCCAAGCTCGCCGCACGACGGCCATCAGGGCGACATCGTGCGAGATGCTGTGTCTATGGCGGACGTTTTGAAGCAGTATTGGCAGCCTGTTTTCACTGAGCGGCCCAGCCCGGAGGCCGAAATTGCAGAGTTCCTGGGCCGCACAATTTCTGACCTCCCCAGCTTTGATTTCCAC